TGGATACAGGATGCATTCTTGGCGCACACCTTTCCAGATCTTGCGCTGTCCTGAAGGCTGTTTCCTGGTCCAAGTATAGGTTTTGCATAAACTCAAAGCAGAAAGAACAGTGGTAAGCAGAAACCAATGATTAAAATGTGGAAAGTAAGAAGCATGAACGTAGGAAAACTGGACATTGTTAAGAAAGAAATGGGCCATTGCTTTGTCGCTGTTCGCGCTGCTGTGTCCTGTGAGCACCCCGCCAGCCGGGGGCTTCTCTGGACGCCGAGTGGCCGAAGCGGCCCCAGTCCGCGGTGTGTTCTCAGTTGTGAGCCTCATCTTGAATTACTAAATTAATTACTTGAAATATTAATGATGGAGAAAAGTTATTCATTGGCTAAATAATGATGCGATTCCTGAAGATTAACATTTAATACTCCATGTAAAGAGAAATCTCCAGATAACATATAAAGATCAACACAAAAACCAGAGAAGACATTGAAGAAATCCTACAACACACAACATCTGTAAAAGTGATTAACACAGTCAGTGTGGGAGAGCCTTCAACTGGATTCCAAATTTTACTGAACAGTAGAGAAATTCTACAGAAATCCTTTTGATTGCTGTGAATGTGGCAAAACCTCTGTGGATCCAACTTTCTCACCCCATAGCAGCTCTCACACAGGGCTCAGTACCTGACAGTGTAAAGATTGTGGAGAAACCTGTACTTGTACCTCTCACCAATCACTGATATAGAACACTAGTGAGGTAGGAGGGTTCATGAAGGTGGGGGCAACCATTAATGTAAAGTGTGCATGACTCCTTTTCTAGCTTGATGCTTAAGTATTCTCTGACAACACTCCTTAGTAAGAGATGCTGAATATTACCAGTTCTTGCCATTGCTATAGTTTCTAATCCTTCTGGACATCTAGGAAACCAGTGTTCATAAACATTGTTTTCTTTCATTTCTCATTTTATGTAAAAATCCTATCTATGAAAGAAGTATGTCTTATGAACAGGCTTTTGGTGAGATTTCATCCCTCACTAAACATGTGAGAACTCAGAGTGTAGAGAGGCCTTACGCATGTAAGGAATGTGGGAAAGCATTCAGTCAGACCTCCACCCTTATGACACACATAAGAACTCACACCAGAGAGAAGCCTTTTGAATGTCTGGAGTGTGGGAAAGCCTTCAGGCAGCTCCCAGCCCTCACTGCGCACATCAGAACTCACACTGGAGCGAGGCCCTATGATTGTAAGGAATGTGGGAAAGCGTTCAGGCAGCTCTCAACCCTCACCGCACATAAAAGGATTCACACTAGAGAGTAGCCTTACAAATGTCAGGAGTGTGGGAAATGCTTCAATCTGCCATCCCACCTCAGCCGGCATATATACTGTCACAGTGGAGACAGACCTTATGAATGTAATAAATGCGAGAAATCCTTTAGTGATACTTCAGCACTCTCTACACATCTAAGAATTCACAGTGGAGAGAAGCCTTACGAATGTATTGAATGTGGGAAGGCCTTTAGTCAGGCATCACACTTCACTACACATCTAAGTTCTCATTCTGGAGAGAGACCTTACTGCTTTTGTAAGGAATGTGGGAAAGCCTTCATGTGTCCTTCAAACCTTACTAAACATTTAAGAACACACAGTGGAGAGAAGCCTTATGTTTGTAAAGAATGTGGAAAAGCCTTTAATTGTGCTTCCTCACTCACTGAGCATACAAGAATTCACAGTGGCGAGAAACCTTATGAATGTATGGAGTGTGGGAAGACCTTCAGTTACGCCTCATCTCTCGTTACACATATATGAGTTCACACTGGAGAGAAGCCCTATATATGTAAGGAGTGTGGGAAAGCCTTCAGCCAGGCTTCCTAACTCACCACACATTTGAGGACTCACAGTGGAGAGAGGCCTTGCGAATGTCAAGAATGTGGGAAAGCCTTCAGTCTGTTTTCCAATGTCACCAGACATTTCAATTCTCATAGAGGAAAGAGACCTTATGAATAGGGTCTGTGGGAATTCCTTTATTCATTCCTTCACCTTCACCACACATTCATTTTGGTTTTGGGTTTTTCTTGTGTGTTTGAGGTTGTTTGGGTTTCTTTTCCACACATAAATTTACAGTGGAGAAAATCCTCCTGAAATGTGGGAAAGCCATTATTCATGCCTCTTCGCTCCTGATTATATTCAGACTTGTGGTGGAGAGAGGCCTAAGGTATGTGGGAAGGCTTTTAGTTAGTTGTTCCTCACACCACATATGAGAAAGAAAAATACATATGTGTCTTCTCACAAAAGGGAGTTAAAGCTGAAGTCATAGAATTAATTCTTACTAAAGATTGCTAAGAAAATCTTCATTGTCCTTGTACTCTTCTTGTGAACCAGCCAAAACCAGTTTTTAATATGCTACCATCCCCCAAGACAGAGACATCACAAACTACCTCAAACCCTAGCTGCCTCCTTTCACACCCTCTCTCTCTCTGCTTTCAAGCACAAAAACAAATTTAACCAATCAGCTAGACTGCGAGGTCAAAACCCTGGACGAGTGGAGTGAGACACAGCCTTAGCTTTTGGGTCACAGATAAATTCCAAGCTGACCACCTATCTGGTATGCTTGTCCGCCATAAGTGCCCTATGAACATTCTTCTACAGAAATAAACATTTGCCTTGCCGGAAAAAAAAGAAAGAAAGAAAGAAATGGAAAACATAAATATTAGCGAAATGAGATGGATTGGCATGGGGCATTTTGAATCAGATGATCATGTGATCTACTATGCTGGAGATGAAAAGGTGAGGGAAGAATGGGGTCACTTTCATAGTTTAAAAGGCCATTTCTAGATCCATCTTGAAATACAATATTGTGAGTGACAGGATAATATCCGTAAGTATACAAGGAAGACCTGTTAATACCACTATCATTCAAATTTATGCACTAACAATCAGAGCCAACAGATGATTTCTACCAACTGTTGCAGTCAGAAATCAAGTGAACGTGTAACCGATATGCATTAATAATAAGCGAAACACTCTAAATAGGTTTGATATTTTCTACCAATTAAGAATGAATGAAATGGAACCCCGTTCATGCCCGTTCCTGAAATGAGAAAAAACAAAACTCCAAGTCAGCAGCTGAACAAATACTTTCACTGCACAACATATTATGGGGTCTTCTATGAAATGCCTTCTATCCACTTTACTTATTTCAATTTCTCTGGTTGTTAGGTGCTGTTAACTCTGATTCATAGCCACCCTATGTATAACAGAGTAAAACCTTGCCTAATCCTGTTCCATCCTCACAATCTCTCTGTATCATCTAAAATATGAGGTAATTTCCTAAATTATTTTAAAAATACAGAAAAAAATCACTCAATTTGCGTCTAACTAAGAATAAAATAAATTTTTAACCTCCATAAAGAGTAAATTGTAACTCCTGTCTCAAGTTAATCAAAAGACACACTCTTATTCTCACAGAAACATTCAATGTTATTTAGATAGAAAACAGAAGAGACATAAGTAACATGCTGATCTTTATTTTTCAGAAGTATAAAATACAGAGCTTTCCAAGCAGTATGAGAAGCAGTTCCATTTTGAATTTTCAAAACTTCATGTCCAGAATGTAGAATAAGGAGAGAAAACAGCAAGCAGAAGACATTTGTGAAAACAAAATTGAGCCGAAAAACTAATATAACAAGAGAAATGTCAAGTCAGTTACATGTCAGATACATCTCTCTGTACGGCAAACACATGGAAAATGTCAAATAAGAACAGTTTTGAAAGAATACTTGAAGGGGTTAATAAAAAAAGACAGCACACTACTTTTTATTCCAAACTTCACACTACAACAAACCTGGGACACAAACTTGTTCACGTAACAGTATGAACAACATGACCTGACCTCAAAGATTACAAGAATTGAACCCACTATGGGGCAGGAAAAGGAGTGACATCAAATTTGAGGACTAGTGGGGACTAAGTGATTAGTGCCACCCAGCCCAGTAAGCCATACACAGAACCAGTCAGATCAGCAAAAGAGATACTGGAGCAACAATCCTAAGATTCAAATTCTCTAGTTTCTGTCAGAGTTCCCCTATACCAGACAATACCGTACAAACCACAGACTCCCAGGAGAGTATAAAGGGGAAGAAGAAAGACCAGGCACAACTCATGCTCCCAGGGATCGCAAAGCAACATCACTCCCAGGCTCAAAAGTACAGCAGCTTATCCTGGCCAGGCTGTGGGTAAGCCAAAGGAGAGCTCTGATGAGCAGGACCAAGCCAGAAGTGAACATATCAAAGACCAAGGTGAAAATGAACACAACAGTTTGAAGACTTTGAAGATGTATTCCCACAATTTGTTGACAAAATGTGAGCTTTCTCTTTTGTTGTTGTGTTTTATGGTATTGTAGTTGTCTGCTAGATGGTTTGGGGTTGTGTTTTTTTTTTTTGTAGTTGTAATTTGAAAGAATGTTTCATGGGGCCACGTTTTATAGAATTATCAAACTGGAGATTTTATTTTTATTATTCAGGCGGCTCTGGTCGCTTAGTGGTAAGGAATTGCCCTGCTAACCCAAAGGCACATAGTTCTAATTCACCAATTGCTCCACAAGAAAAGGATGGGTACTCTTCTCAAGTATTTTCAAGTACAACTGCGTCTGAAAAGCCACTGGAGGGTCAACTATGAGTTGGTTCCCACTCAATGGTATCTAACAATGAATGATACAATAGCTAATGTAATAGATAATATATCTAACGAATGTCTGTGTAACTAATATGTGTAAGGAACTGCGTTACATGCTCTAATACTTCACCTCATATAATCTTTATAACTATGCAAACAACCATTACTTTCATTTTAGAAGTAATGATGGTTAGAGATAAACATTAAAGAGGGCGGGGTAAAGATCAGAGTAACAAACCTCCAAGTGTAAGCATAACTGTAAAGAAGAATTGTTAAGTGTAAACAAGAATCCAAAGGTTAAAATTCTACATATCAAGGTCTTTAAGAAAGGCAACATACCTGTAACCGCTGAAATACTCCAGATCGTAAGTTGCCAAATCCATAGTGGTACTGTGGATTCCACTCACTCTCTGTTACTTCCTCATAGGGGGACTGTTCAATTTCCCAATCAAATTCATCATCATCCTCTTCTAATATTCCTTCCTCAGAAGCCTCAGAAGAACCTAAATACATTAACTCTTTTAAAGTACTGGATTTCTCAAGTACTATTTGATAAAAAAGTGATATTGAAAAAAAAATGCCTACACATGTGCTCCAAATGTCAGGGATAAAAATATCCTAGTACTAGTATTCAAATCAGCAAAAAATTAAAACAATTCATTTATACAACTGTATAAATATATAAATATGGTAGCTAGCTACAATATGGATACATCTCAAGGAGGTAAGACCAATAGAACACAAACTGTAAAAAATTATATGTACAATTGTCCAAAATGAGGAAATTGATGACCTGGGAGAGGAGGGAGGGTAACCTGGGGAAACACATGATGTTGCATGTCCTTACTTGGATGGTAGTACTTTAATTATCTCAATGAACTACATACACTTCTGATCTCATCTCAATTGAATAATATTCTTTCCAAGACAGAGATGCTGTTTCAGTTGGTCAAAAAATGTGATTGACCTGCTAGTTCAATAGGATTTGTGATGTCTTTAAATTATATGAGGTATTTTCAAATATAGCTACCTCCTCATTTTGTCATCTTTAGCATTTCTCTCAGTTTCAATTTCCTGTATTCCTTTTCCCTGATAATTTTATCTCCATTTCCTCTCAAGTGTAATGAACATACCTATTTCCTCCACAAGGGGTTTTGCAGTCCTGGATTTTCTTGGTGCTAAGAGAGCAGTTAGCATGTTCAGTCCCTCAAAATGCTGACCAGGAGTTTCTTTGGGCAATCGTATGGTAAAAATTCCTTAAAAAAAAATTTGTTTCATGCTCAGATAGATGCAGAGGCTTCATAAAATTCTAATTCACAGAACTACAAAAGTCTGCCTCCAATAGGTATCACTCATTCACCCTCCTAAGGGTGTCTTAGGCTATAAATCACACAGGAAAAGCTTCTCCTGAGAACCTGCTCATAGACATGAACCACCAGAGAAGCATGGCCTCTTGGTTAGCAGAGCAGCTCCCTAAAGAACACACCATCAGCTCTCCCAATGTAGATTTAGTGAATAAAAATTAGGAAGAAGGGAAACACATGGTTTTTAGAAACAATAAATCAATTAGTGAATAAGGAACTGAGTTGCCAATCTAAAAGGCATGAGGTTCGAATCCATCAACTGCTTCACAGGGGATTAAATCAACAAGCTCCTCTCATGTGATTTACACTCTCTTATAAAACCCACTGGAGGTTCAACTATGAATCACCTAGATCCTTTTTTATTAAAGCATTTTTTTTCTCTCCGTATAATGAATTACATTTTAATATACCAAATACAACTCAACTCAAATATTTCACATATAAAATCTTCCTAAACCCAAGTGCACTTTTAAAATTCAGTAATAGTGCTTCCATATGCAATATAACTACTTACTCCCTAGGAGGGTAGTTTTATTACACTCTATTATCATATTCCACTCTATTATCATATTCATTACACTGTATTACAGGTTGTAAATTTGTCATTCAACTCCACACCCTCCCTTCTGTATTCTAGTTCATTGACATCAATCAGTCTTTGTGGAACAAATTATACAAGTATACGCAATGTATTCTTATTCCAGATGTAGTGGAAAAGGAAAATCATGGCCTTGGCTTCCATAAAATCAAAATAAACTGTTATATACCAAAAGCAATACCTACAGTTGCTGCTGAGTAAATTCTCACAGAAATACTCCATCAGGTCTCTGACCTGGTGGACTCCTCCCCAAAGGAAGCTGGACTGCTAATCCAAAGGCCACGCCTCCCTGGTGATTTGAATCCCTCAGTGGCTCCTACAGAAATATGGACAGTCTCCGAATGTGTGATTCATAGCCTCAGAAATCCAATGGAGAGTCAGCTATGCGTTGGATCCAACTCCAGGGCAATGAGTTTGAAATTTGGAGAGTTTGAAATCTTAAAGGGAAGTCTTTCTGTCAGGAACAAGTGGTGAAGGTAAATCATGAAATTATCAACAGATTAATAATCTTTACACTATAATCATGAGCAGAAAATTCAATCAGCTTCTAAAGGCTGCCAAAAATTTCTTACAAATGTTAGAAAAATTTAAGTGTGTAATTATAAAGGAAAAATTCCATTTTAAATAGCTTACAAATCAACCACAAATTTTATAATCACTTGCCTTGTTGATGTTTACCATCAAGTCAGAACCAACACACAGCTGACACTCCTGCAGGTTTTCAGAGGCCATAAATCACATGGGAGGAGACTGTCCATCTTTCTCCCATGGAGCAGCTGGTGAGGTCAAACCACATACATTGGGGTTAGCAGTACAATTCTTTAACGTCTATGCGACTGGATCTACTTTTCAGTTTTTTAACTTTTAAACATCTACTAAGCATGAGAGAAGTATAAAATAAGAATAGAAAAACAGAACCAGAATATTTAACTAATTGAATTTTGCTTTGAAAAATACTGTGAAATATTTCAAAAGCCTAATAACAATTAAAGATTTAAAATCGTTGATGAGGGGATGGGGCTGTGGACTGGCCAGGGGCCTTGGAAGTCTCCTTCCACTCTGGAAGTCAGCTAGCTGGCTGGCCATCATCTTAATGTTGGTTTCATCTGGATGGCAGTCAGGTAAGGGAAGTTTCTGGGGTCCTTTTCATTGTGTCTTACTGTTCCTTGTCACCCCTCAAAAGTGGGTGGCCCTTGAACCTTAGACTAAGGGCAAGGGTGGAGCCCTGCTCGAGGGTATGGATTTAAAATCCTGTAGGGCCCTCGGGCCGCATAGTATATTCTTTAAGAGACACAGTAATCATTTGTCTATTTGCTGTACTGAACAACTTGGAGTTGCTGTGATGCTAAACACTATCTGATAGTCACGTCAAATACCATAATGGTTACCCATTATGTATAATGGTTGAATGAGCTTCCAGACTGATTCATGTTGGGAAGCAAGAGTGGCATCCACTTCCTAAACTAGGTGCCTCTGGAAACTCTACAAACTCTCTCATAAATGTACAGAAAAGATGTTAATCATAGGAAAAAAGTTGAAGTCTTTTGTGTAGAGCTGAATTTGAGTCATATTCAACTTGAAAACACTTAACCACTGCTAAATGAGACTAGTTATATCTCAATAGTGGTTTCATCTATCAACATAACTAGTTCTATCTTGGAGGAACATTCTTCCACTTTTCACATTACTCTTTGTCAATGTGCTATATGAGGTAACCTGGTTTTGTTATGATGCTGAACCTTGTGCCATGGGGATATCAAATAACAGAATGGTTTCCTATTGTGGACAGTTTTTGGTGGAACTCGCAATTTTAAACCAGGATGAAAAGCAGGAGTGGCATCCGCTTCCTAAACCACATGCCTCTGGAAACTCTATGAACCTGGAGAAACAAAGACAGCTGTGGAAAGGCATTAGGTATTTTGTTCACAGAGTCACTATCAGTCGACCTTGACTGAACAATAATTATCAAGAAACCTACAAATAACAGACACTCAAAAATAAAAACAGAAAAAATGGCAGGGGCAGACTGTACTTGCAAGACATCTAAAAGTACCCACTACTTCTTAAAATATCAAAGGTAATTTAACATGAATAATCCAAAGGAGAAAAAATGTAAAAAAAAATACAATACCTTTATCAGCATCATAGGATCCTTGCTCACTTCCATTTTCTACAATCCTTCCAGGAAGGGTCAATCTATAAATTTAAAATGACGTCTTATGAAGGTTGATACAATTAATCATTGATGATCAATGACCACATACATTCACCTACAAAATTTTATCAACCATTTAAAGAAAAATCTCAATTTCTTTTATATCTTTTTTTTTGCAGGCAATAAAACTTTTTCTTTTAAACCACACGTAGACAGCAGGTGGCAACAACTACTCATGTTTCATTAAAATTACATAAAACCTAGGTACAAAAGCACCACTGATTATTGCTCTAGAAAAACTGCATAAAAAAATTCAAATATACACAGTAAAAACACCACAGTATGCACAGGACTACACTTTATTTCTTTTACATCTTATAAACTAAATAGCTTAGATTCATTACTTGTTGTTGCTATGTGTTTTTGAGTCACCTATGACTCACAGCAACAATTATGTACAACAGTCCTAAACTCTGCTCTATCCTGTGCCAATCTTATTGCCTCTGAGACACCTACTCCTATTACTCCAGGAACTGAATCAATTCATCTCATTGAGGGTCTTTCTCTCTTGCACAGTCCCTCCACCTTCCAAAGTATGGTGTCCTTCTCCAAGGACTGGTCCTGCCTGGCAACATGTCCAAAGTATGTCAGACAAAGCTTCAGAATCTTTCAGAGCCTGGCCTCACCCTCTCTAGAATGATCTCTTTGTTTTCCTATCAGACCATGGTATATACAATACTTCAACACCACAGCCCAAAGGCATCAATTCTCTATCATCCCTAGTCCTTGTCCAGCTTTCTGATGCATAGCAAGTAACTGCAATATGGCCTGGTTCAGGCACACCTTAAGACTCCAGACTGGTATCACTGCTCTTCAGTACTTTGGTCTCTGACATCTGACTTTTCCAATGCAATTCATCTCTTGATTTCCTGGCTGCTGGTACCAA